GCCCTCCCATCTCGGCCCCAAAGTGGGTTGGGGCACCCAGCCCACGAGGAAAAGGAAAAAAGAGGTAGAGGATAGTAGTAGAGAAAGAGGAAAGAGGAAAGAAGGAGGAAGAAGAAAGAAGGAAGAAAGAAAGAGGAAAGAAGGAAGAAGGAAGAAAGAAGAAATAAAGAGGAAAGAAGGAAGAAGGAAGAGAGAAGAACGAAGAAAGAAGAAGGAAGAAAGATAAAAGAAAAGATTTTGTGGGCGCTCACTTTTAGTCTGGCTACTCCCCCAGCGTCTGCCCGGCATGGTAGAACCTGCCGGAGGGCCGCGGCACTCCGCCGGTATAGCCGCTGGGATCGTTGTAGCACGCAAGCCCCCTCACCACGCCAAGGTAGTGAGCAGAAGGGGGAACCTAACCTAACCTAACCTAACCTAACCTAACCTAACCTAACCTAACCTAACCTAACCTAACCTAACCTACCTGACCTAACCTAACCTGACCTAACCTGACAAACCTAACCTGACCTAACCTAACCTAACCTGACCTACCTGACCTAACCTAACCTAACCTGACCTACCTGACCTAACCTGACCTGACCTACCTGACGTAACCTTTTTTTTTTTTTACGCGGGGGAAATGCCTACGCACACCCCCGCCCCCGGGGAGGGGCGGGGGTAGTGTGGGACTCGCACCCACTAAAAACCTCGCGGTGGCCGCCATCGGCGCGTCGGAGGGGACCGCGGGATCGGGTTTCCACTACCGCGGTCCCCCCGCGCCACACCCGGTATGCCGGGCCCTATCCCGGGAGGAGGGGGGTGGAGGCGGACACAGTCCCCTCCGTGTACCCCTCCCCCTATTTCCCGCGTCGTATCGGCCGAGGGACGCGACCACCCGTCCCTCGGCCCTGCTCGTTGTGGTGGGGGGGGGCTGCGTGCCATGGGTCCCTCGTTCCCCGTACTTGGGACCCTGCAGCCCCCTCGCGCCCCGGGCCCCACCGATCCATCAATCCCCCGCATTCCCCCCCAGAGGAGTAAAGAGGGGAAAGGGGGAAGGAGGAGCCAGGGACACTACGCCAGTGGGCCGGCGTGCGCTGGGGGGGGCCTGTTGCCCCTCCCCGCCGGCCCGGGCGACGCCGGACGCTCGGTGGAGCCCGGGCGCAGCCGGGTCCCCGCACCCCGGCGCCGCCCCCTCGCTCGCAGGCCTTTTTTGGGCCGCGGGGGGCAGGTCGCAGGGACCAGGGTTGTCCGTGAAGGGGGCTAACCCCCCCTCCGGCTCCGGCGCCCGCGCCCACCCCCTCGTCGTCAGGCGTTGTCCGCCCGCTCCCTGTCCCTATTGGCCGACTCCTTCTGGAGCATAACCGCTTCACAGAAGGAGACGGCCGCCTGCCAAGCCCCCCGCCACCGACCATGGCCCTGACCACAGCCGNTAACCTGACCTACCTGACCTAACCAAACCTGACCTACCTGACCTAACATAACCTGACCTAATCTAACAAAGGCGCTCTGATTAAAGTTCTAATTAAGGCATTCTAATTAGAGTGGTACAGCACTATAATGCGCTCGAATGCATTATAATGCCCTCTACGGCACTGTACAGCACTCTACGGCACTCTACGGCACTCTAGGGCACTGTAGGGCACTTTACGGCGCTCTCCGCCACTATCCGGCACTCTGCGGCCCTCTGCGGCACTCTCCGGCACTCACCGGAAACTTTCCGGCACACTGCGGCATCTCTCCGGCACTCTCCGGCAATCTGCGGCATCCGCCGGCACTCTCCGGCACTCTCCGGCAAGTCTCCGGCACTCTGCGGCACTCTCCGGCACTCTCCGGTACTCTCCGGCATTCTCCGGGACTCTCCGGCAAGTGTCCGGCACTCTCCGGCACTCTCCAGCACTCTGCGGCACTCTGTGGCAACTCTCCGGCACTCTCCGGCACTCTCCGGTACTCTCCGGTACTCTCCGGCACTCACCGGCAACTCTCCGGCACTCTGCGGCAACTCACTGGCACTCTCCAGCACTCTGCGGCACACTGCGCCACTCTGCGGCAAGTCTCCGGCACTCTCCGGCACTCCCCGGCACTCCCCGGCACTCTGCTGCAACTCTCCGGCACTCTAGGGCACTCTTCGGCACTCTCCGGCACTCTCCGGCACTCTCTGGCAACTCACCGGCACTCTCCAGTACTCTGCGGTACCCTGCGGCAACTCCCCGGCGCTCTCCGGCACTCCCCAGCACTCTGCGGCACTCTGTGGTAACTCTCCGGCACTCTCCGGTACTCTCCGGTACTCTCCGGCACTCACCGGCAACTCTCCGACCCTCTGCGGCAACTCTCCGGCACTCTCCGACAACTTTCCGGCACTCTACAGCACTTTGCGGCACTCTGCTGCACTCTGCGGCAACTCGCCGGCATTCTCCGGGACTCTAGGGCACTCTCCGGCACTCTCCGGCACTCTCCGGCACTCTCCAGCACTCTGCTGTACCCTGCGGCAACTCTCCGGCACTTTGCGGCCCTCTCCGGCACTCTACGGCACACTGCGGCACTCTGCGGCAAGGCTCCGGCACTCTCCGGGACTCTCCGGCACTCTCCGGCAACTTTCCGGCACTCTACAACACTTTGCGGCACTCTGCGGCACTCTCTGGCACTCTCCGGCACTCCCCGGCACTCTGCGGCACTCTGCGGCAACTCTCCGGCACTCTCCAGCACTCTCCGGTACTCTCCGGCACTCACCGGCAACTCTCCGACACTCTGCGGCAAATCTCCGGCACTCTCCGGCAACTTTCCGGCACTCTACAACACTTTGCGGCACTCTGCGGCACTCTCTGGCACTCTCCGGCACTCTCCGGTACTCTGCGGCACTCTGCGGCAAGTCTCCGGCACTCTGCGGCACTCTGCGGCAAGACTCCAGCGCTTTCCGGCACTCTCCAGCACTCTGCGGCAACTTTCCGGCACTCTCCGACACTCTACAGCACTTTGCGACACTCTGCTGCACTCTGCGGCAACTCGCCGGCATTCTCCGGGACTCTAGGGCACTCTCCGGCACTCTCCGGCACTCTCCGGCACTCTGCGGCAACTCTCCGGCACTGTCCAACAACTCTCCGGCAATCTCCGGCACTCTACTGCACTTAACAACACGCAACCGCACTGTACGGCCTTCGATAAAGCTCGAAAACACTTGAAAAACGCTCGAAAACGATCGATAACGCTCGAAAACGCTCGGAAAACGCTTCAAAAGACTCTAAAAACACTCGAAGGCACTAAAAACACTCGAAAACGGTTGAAAACCATTAAAATAAGGGTAACCCTAAAAAACAGTCTAAAAACGGTCGAAACCGCTCTGAAAATGATCGAGAAACGTTCGAAAACGTTAAAAAACGGTCGAAAAACGCTCGATAACGCTCGAAAACACTTGAAACCGCTCGAAAACACTCGAAAACGCTCGATAACGCTAGTAGGGAAATGTAAAAAAAATCATACGCGAAATGACTCGGCTTATATCCGGGATTAGGTAAGCCTCGGAAGGATTTTCGCAATATTCGACTCTCACGCATACTCGTCGAGTGTAGCGCCGAACGTGCACATACTCAACGACTCAACCCGTAGCTTGACGCTTGGCTGTTTGGGATGTGCTAAGATTTCTAGGAGCGATCGCACTCTCACAGATTCGCTGCATGACGGTTCAGTACGCGACACCGACGCCGTGCCCCAAAGCTCCGCATCACGTCGACTTCTTGGCAACAATGTACTTAATAGTGTAGATAAGTAGATAAAGTCAAATGGAGCGTCACGAGTTTCTTCCCTTACCATCAAAAGCGAGCAGTGTCGGTAAGCGTAGGTAAGCCACCACCGGCAACTGCCGCATGGTATTACTATCACGAGTACGTGAGCCGCCAACGGCGACTGGTAGATGGTACCGCCATCGCGAGTGCGCGAGCTCCTATCAGAAATTCATTGCGCCGCCCTTGGGGGCAAAAAACGGTGAAAGCTAACGTACGAAACCAGAGGGCAGCACAAGATGCGATCACACGATCCTGCCCGTGAGCAATCTCCCAACTGATCTCTTCTATTCATGCTTGGAAGATAACCTTAAGAATGGTTCCCGCTCGTTTTTGGCGTCACCGGTTGCATGGCAACTTCGGTACCGATGGTGTTTAATGGGTCAAGTACGAATGTACGATGTATCCTAAGTAAGGTGATGATGTCCAATTCTGGACAGGGGGAATGAAGCATTCATTCGGTGACAGAAGGTAAAGGATTGAAAGAACTTTGAAAGGTCCAACACGGATGCAGAAGTCGAGGTGTAACAAACTACAACCTAAAGAAGTAGAGAAATTAGATTGACGCTGCAGCAACAATTGTCATCGTTTGGTCGTGTATTTAAGGACCTTAAGTGTTATTATTGTCCGTACAGTATTCGCACAGTGGTACTCATGGATTCGATTACCGCGGCTTTGAGTTCAACTATATCAGTATATATATTCATGTGTATATATATATTATATATCGATTGCCTAAAAATACTTACAAGTTACGATTAAACTCCTCTAAAGCGTCGCATTAATGCTACACTGACGAGTCGTGTGGTCGTAAGACCGCACTTCCTACATATAAGGAAAGTGTGTACAGTGACTGATGTATCTTTGCAGGATCTTCCAGCCTTCTAAATCATTCCATCCTCGGGTCGTTTTTACACGAGGGAACGAGAGAGTGCGACTTCCTTTTACACTCGCACATCGCGATGTCAGTTTTTAAGAAACATGTACACAATGTGGGAATATACCGCGTACGCGTCGTGTCTACAAGTTCTGAAGCTCGTTAAGGGAGTGCGAAAGTGATATCTGAAGGGTCAATTGTTTTAAACTTTACAACGTGAATATGAAAGCTAGAAGGAAGGTCCTGCCGCCCATGAGATTTCATTTTTTTTTTCTAAATTTTAAAAACACCTATAAACAAATTTCGGAAAAATTGAGATTCCATGGGTGTAAGGACCTTCCTTATAGTTTACATATTCACGTTGTGAAATTTCATATCATATATCATATATTATATATCATATTCGGAGAAATGTTTCATAAACGAGACCTCTTTGACGCCATTTTCGCATTACCTTAAACGCAAGATACAGTTCTAGATCCTCTTGCAACAAAGTAATCGTCGGAGCGGAGGAACTTATCATCGTTAAAAACTATGTACAAGGAAAGTCGAGTAACTTAAAATATTTTGCATTACGCCGAGGTGAAGACTGCTGGGAATGGCACGGTAAAGGTCCTGAAGACAAACGATAGAAGACGGTCAGAAATTCAACGACGACTCGTTCCTCGTCCGGGCTACGCGACGATTTCTTTGCTCTTGGGAAACGCATCCATTTGTCAGGACTATTTTTATAGTTTCCATATACATACCGTTCTTCACTCTTTGAAAGGACAAAGTCACCAAGAGAGGATCGAAACGTGGGTCCTGATAAGCGATTAGCGCGACTATCCGAGATCTGCGGACGAAGCGGTGCTTAATTGTTGGCGGTGGTCGCTGATTATTTACACGAATCAACCACGCTTTACGACCTTCGACATTCTCCGGTACCTTCTTCTAGTATTTGGAACCAAGGTTCGGTAAGGCACTGCGCTTAATACTAGTTAAGTAAGTGAACGAGGACCCGGGTACGAGTCAGCACCAAACCGTCGAGATAAATGCGAGGTCCTCGCCGTCGTTACCGTGTAGTGCGTATTTTAAGTGTATAAATGCTCTTGGTACTGTTACGCATGGTAGCCTAAGTAACCTACTGTAATTAAACATTAACTAGGGCATCCTCCCAAAACGCGGTTAGTACGTAGTCGCGATTCTACGATTAACTGATACTCAGGAACGTGTATAAATGCAACGCACTGGTTTCGAATGCACAGACGACTCTTGAGCCTGGCGCGAACTCTCCGTATTTGGCGAAGCGAGTCCGCCGTCGACTATTACGTACTCGATAAACTATCAATAATGAATACTTTACAAGGAAACCGACGCAGTTTTCATTCCCACGTGATTAGGGAGGACAATGAGGTCGACGATTCCGGATGTTCTTGAAAAATCTGGTCGAGCGTTTGTTGGATCCGCTCGCTTGCCGAGTCGAAATTTTGATCCTACTTAAAACTTCTAATTGTAAGCTTTAAATGGGTTCGAAACAACATACTTCCATAAGTTCGAGGTCCTCCTTCAGACTTTAAAAGTGGCAGATCTTTCCATTTCCTCAACAAGTAGTCTTAAGGTAGGACGTCGTCAGTATTAAGTAGAACGTACAAAGATGAAAGTAGGACCTAATGAGTAAAGAAAGGACCAAAATAGAGCTTACTTAAGATACACAGGTTTACAATAGGACTAAAATTTGGACTCGGGTTCCACCTACTGCCCTCGCTGACGATCGAGAGTTACTAATAAATTAGAACAAGCGAGTAAACCGAAGGCCGTTGACTCGCCATTCAACTTCCTTCTGGAGATGCTAGAGGAAGAGGCGTTATCAGCCGTTATCTATTGTACACGCAATATCTAGAATTAAATGTATATACCGACCGGAACTGAGACGGGTCGTCTGTAACGCAGCGTCTATCTATTTTAACTGTCCTTATAGTTATCGGTGCATCGAATGCCTTCTGAGGTTACCCGGAGCGCAGTTGTCTGCGCACGGAGGCAATGTCAACGGTGACAACGTCGTCCATGAGAGACAACCATTGCCCAGCGATATGGCTCCATCGGACTAGGATTCAGCATCAGATCGTGTATACATGGACGGTTCCATCGCGAGATGCATCGTCGATGCATTCGAAACATCGCGCGATCCCTGACCGGCTTGATCATTTTAATCAACCGTATCTATGTATAAACGTTCTAAGGCTTTGGCAGTGAAGGAAACTCGACTTTTCCTCGATGTCCGATCCAACGCAGGTCGAAGGATCGAAAGATGCTCCGAAAGGACCTCGTTCAGACTACTGACTATTCTTGAAGTGAGTTTCTTCGGGGCATTTTTCGCCATTCGCGATTCCCCTTCCAGAAGGGAAGACGAATCCCTCCACGTTGCGCTCATCGTGGACACCGAAAAGTCGACTCAGGACTTCAAAGGAAAGAAAGGATCGATCTCCTCCTTCTGGTGGTGTCGATATGAGGCCCCGATGCTGGCAGCTGGCCCGCCTCTGTGCAGGATCGACAGCAGAATTTGGCATAGTATTTGTGCTGGCAGTAATTCGCCAGGACGATCAAGTCGCACTTGGCGAAGAACGAGTTGTCCTGGCAATTGGGATGGATAAAGATTCCTGCAATGAGATCGAAGGAATGCGGTAATAAAAATAAACGGAGATTATAAATGGAGTCTATGCAAAATGGCACTCACCAGCTACCACGATATTTGCGCTGTCTGAAGCAGAAGTGTACTCATTGGACGCTTCGCAGCGATACACCCCTGAGTCGTTCTTGTTGGCATCGGCGATTATCAATCGATTGGCATCTGAACGTGGAAATAGAGGCGTACAAATTCTCCGGTCGAATTATTTCTATTAAATTTGACGAGTGAAATATCTCACCGGAAACCTTCACGCGATTGTTCGACCTGATCAGAACATCGTCCTTGTACCAAAGGACTCGAGGAATGGGATACCCGTCCACGTTGCAGGCGATGCTGATGTCGCTACCCTCCGGGAATTGGTTCTGAGATACCGACACGTTTACCTTGACCGGAACTACGTTTCAAAAAAAATATAGAGCATAAAAAGAGCCATCAACACGGCTTCGACGTGAGCAATCGATGAATATAATTCGAAAGAGTCTCTATCACAAAGAAATCAAACATTCGTCATGCAAAAGCGTCTATGGTTAGGATTCATCTCTTCCTCGATGAGAAGTACATGCACATTCACTGTAGAAGACAGGAAGGAACAAGGTGTAGCATTGAAAAATAGGTGAAAAATTGTTAAATATAAAAGAGAAAAATTTAGATTGAAATGCATGTCGCCCCTCACCTTTGTACCGAGTAGCCTCGGAAGGTGGTTCCGTGAGAGGAACGACACCAGGAATGTAGGGTTGAGTGGGATAAATGGGAGCGTAGGTCTGATGGTACTCGGTAGTCTGGGTTCTGTTGGGTCGATATGGGTACTGTGGTCTGTCCGGTCTTTTGGGTGGTTGGACGAGATATTTCGCGTACTCCTGCTGTTCCGGCTTGATATTGTGGACAGGTCCGACAGCTTGCAGGGTAACCGACCAAGAGGCTGGCCTGTCGATCCCATTGTAAGCTTGGCAGGTGTACACCCCGAGGTTGCTCAAGGTAACGGATCTGATCAGCAGAGTGTAATCGGAATCCTGCTCGTAGGACTCCGAAGACAGGGGCAGCATGCGGTCTCCTCTCCACCAGGTGACAAAAGGCCTTGGCCAGCCCATGGCGTAACAATGCAGAATCGTAGGCGATTTCATGGTCACCGTTATGTAGGTGTTCGCTTCTCCGACGATGGCGGCGGAATGGTCGTGAGGTTCTATGGGGTTGGCAGGCAATGTGTGCATGCGAAGAGTGCGGTTAGGATTAGAACGCTAACTACTGAAATTCCACCGCAGCCGAGTTTTCCACAAGTCTACTATTAATATTACAGTAATATTATAAACTATCGCACGGTGTTATAAAGAATCGGTTAGGACCAAGATAACGAGTCTTGCAGTTAGAACGACTGAATTTTACGTTAGTAACACGGTGCTTCGGCTGTTTCCATGATTTTAGTCCGATCGTCCCTCGTGCACCTTTGCATCCCTCGTGCTCGCACAAGGCATTACCTATTTTTACTTCGCCGGATTTATCCGTCGAGTTGTACTTACCCGTCACGTCGAGCTGGTACTCCGTTCTAACCGGTGCTCCGACACCATTATCAGCAGTACAGACATATACTCCCCTGTCGTAGGTGTACAGATTGATGATCTGCAAGGAGCCGTCGTTCAGGATGCGTCGCCTCTTCTCGGCCGCGCCGATCTACAAATGAAGATCAATAGAAAAAAATGAATCAAAGCCCCCGTTAATCAAATCGATATCCATAGAGAAATTGTTGGTGAACCAACCAAAGTGGTATCTTTCCTCCAGGAAATAGTTGGTCTCGGGTTGCCACGAGCTACACACGTCATAGTGACGAATCCGCCTTCCTCGGCACTGACGTTCGGTTCTTCTGGCTGTACGATGGAGGCTGGTTCTGCTCCATACTGAGGAATTGAGGCATTCTGAATCGGAGGAAGCGTGGGAAGTGGTTCCTCGGGTGCCGGTTCCAAGCAAGAGGCACCACACCCGATCTTGCAGCATTTCCACTCTCCGGTGCAATCTGCATCGGACTGACATTCCTGCTCGCAGCGCGTGCTGTTCGACACGTTTGGACACCTTCCTGGCTTAGTAGCTATTATTACGGAGAAAAGCATTTTGCAAGATATATTCAATGCAACTTTGAATATTGCTATGGAATATAATGTTACGATTTAATGATGACTCACTCGATCTGCAGACTCCCTTGTACTCGGTGCCATCTCTGCTCGCCACCAATGTGATGGCACATTTGGTTCCCTCCGGACAAGTCTGAGTCCTGCAGGGATCCACACAACGGCAGCGTTCGCAATCTTGGCTATCGACAAAAGCTTCCTTCCCGTAAGGACAGCGAATAATGTTGCACTCTTCGCGAGCCTCCGCACAAGGATCCTTCTTGTCACGTCCCGAGTCCACGTCTATCTCGTTGCTCGCTGTTAAACGATTCTCTGTGTTACAATTATACGTTTTACATAACATACCGTTCAAAAAGTGGGGGACATGTGATTTAAAGCTTGGAGCATGGCGCTCGTGACAGCTTCTTATATACAGCTTGTTGAATACGAATAAAACGGTGAGGCATGGTGTGCGATGACGCATGGCAGAATCATAGAAAATCGAGGAACAAGGAGTACATGTGCAAGGAAGGGTCCTGCTGGTTTATGTACAACGTTAGAAAGGCTCGTAGAAGCCTGTCGCCGGGACTTGACAAAAGTGATCCGAACAGCCAGCACGTTGTCAGAGCGAGCGCTTTTACTATCCTGTCACTTACTCCTGAAGCAAGTATTAATGCAAGACTCGAAAGTCTTGAATCTGTTACGATTTCCACCGCAACCCGTGTAAACGAACGCCATGCAAGTCTGGCGTTCGTCGTCGAAGTAGAATCGCTTGTAAGTCCCTGTGCTGCAAGAACCGATGTCCACGGGTTCTTTGCAGATCGCTTAAACCACAAGTACAGGGTCAAGGTAACGACACCTCGGTATCGGCAACAGACCGCAATCTAGAGATAAGATAGCTCCATTCCTTACCCAGATGAGAAAGCGAGGTGTCGTTTCCAGTAGGAGCAGGTTCTTCGTGGTGAATGCAGACCGACTCGCATTCCGGAACGGTGCTGAACCTGTTGGCGTTCCCATCACAACCACCGTAAGTAAACTCACGACATCCCCGGCTGCCAGAATCGTAATAGACCTTGGGGAAAGCTCCTCGACACGGTCCGGTGTCGACGGGAAGGTTGCAGACATCTGAAGCAACGATAAGATGGTCAATTCCGAGCGAACGACTCGAGCTGGATGCTCAAAACAATGCCGAAGAAGGCTCACCTTGGCCTTGGAAGCGACCGCAGAGTCTCTCGCACTGCTCCTCGGTCTGGAACCTGTTGGCGTTGCCTTCGCACCCACCATAGATGAAAGCTTGACAAGACTTAGACTGAGGGTCGTAGTAATAGGCCGTGACTTCTCCATTGCAAGGTCCAGCATCAACCGGTGCCAAGCAGAGAGGACTAGCTGGGACGATTTCAGTGATTGGATGCGGTGCCTGTGTACTCTGCTGCTGAGCCTTAACCTCGGACGGAACGTCAGGAACTTGTTTGCATTTGCTCTCGCAGGAGAGCTTGTCCTGGAAGCGATTCTTGTTGCCCTGGCAGCCGCTGTAGTCGAACTCGTAACAAGAGTCCGAGCGCCTGTCGTAGAAATACTGTTGAACGAATCCGTTGCATGGCCCGACCACCTTCGGCAGGGTGCACGGATCTGGAAGATTAAACCTCGCTTAAGATGATGTGGAAGTGGCATCCGAGAGGTCAATCGTTCATGAAAACTTTCTGCAAACTTGGTGTACCGAATCATTTGAAATTCTACCATATAAATGTGGAAGCTCCACGGAAGGTCTCGATGAACATGAAATTTAATTGATTATAAAAATGTTAAAGATGTCGATAAACATATTTAAAAGAAAATGAAATTTCAAGGGGGTCAGGACCTTCCTTATTGCCTCCATACCCCTTTGGTAAATCTTGAAGCGTTTCGGTGCTTCCAGTTCGGAGAAGTTTCATAAATGAGACTTCTTCGACGCCACTTTCACATAACCTCAAATCTGGATTATACTTTTTAATATGTAAAAAAGCGTTTGTCGAGTTTATGGAAAATAAAGAAAATTCGTAGATTACCTTGCACATCTCCACAACGATACTCGCACTCCTCGCGGGTGCCGAACATGTTCCCATTGGTCTGACAACCACCATAGGTGAATTGTTTGCAGATTCCTTCCCTGCTGTCATAGAACCACCTGACGGACTCATCAGCACACGGTCCGTGATCGTCGGGCAGAAAGCAAAACTCTGCAAGGAAAAGGTCCTCGATTTTCATTAACCGTCGAGGATGGAGGAGGGATAGTTGGATGTAATCATGGTTGGGATTGTTTCTAAATTTTGTTACCGGTTTTGAATTCGACGACGGCAGGAGCAGACGTGCTAGTTTTGGCCTCGCATCTCGAGATGCACTCCTGGTCGGTCCTAAAGTTGTTCTCGTTTCCACCGCAGCCTCCATAGTAGAATTGTCTACACCGCTGTTCGTACGAGTCATAGTACCACCTCTGGGTGTAATTGTGGCACTCACCCAAGAGAGCAGGAAGCAGGCAGATATCTTGCTCTGAGTTCCAGGACATAATAGGAAATAGCTTTAAAACATTCGCTAGCTTTTAACTGCGATATCTTCCTCTAATTAATTCGTGCTCGTAGATATCTAATTCTGCATAGATGAGATCAGAGCCGAGAAGAATTATGCACGCAGAAAAATATTCGGTTGAATCAATGAAATTTTGGTTGGTTTAACCATAAAATATGGTTACCATATGGACAACCAAATATTTAGTTGACATGACTAAATTCTTTGGTTAATCGTTTTTTGTTAAAAATTTGTCAAATATTGTGGTGAGTCGTACCAAGTATTAATGTAATTCGGTACATTTGACAAAAACATTCGATTTATTACCTGAAATATTTTCTCAAGTTAACAATTCGATTTGACCGAAACACCTTGGTTGATTGAAACAACCAATGTTTGGTCAAGTTCACTAAAATACAATTCACTCAATCAAAATGTTTTCTGAAATTAACCGCATACAGTCAATCGAATGATTTTATTAAATGAACTAAATTTTTTTCTGCATGTCAAGTAGTACGATCGTTAATAGGTGATAATTGGAACCTTACCGATTTTGGGTGGACAGTCGGTCTCGCATGCATCTCTAGACTCAAAGTTATTTTTATTTCCACCACATCCGGTGTAATAGAAGGGCATGCACCGATTTTCCGACTGGTCAAAGTACCAACGAGAGTGCTTCTCCGTGCAGTTACCCTCGAAACGTGGCAGCGAGCAAGAATCTGTCACCGCATCAATCACCATGCACATTACACGTTAGATCCTACTATATTAGTAATTAATGCCTATTACTAAGGAGGAAAGCTTGCGATTAAATATTAGTACTAGGGAAGAAGTTCCTTCCAACCCGCCCATGTTAAATTTTCGGTTCAACATCTATGTTGCAGTTAGTACATTAATTCTACCCGAGCGCGATCGATGCATCACTCGCAGCATTCGGAAGTGATCGAAATACGCGATCAGTGAGAGATTCTCGTGGTTAAATAAACTGTAAACAATAACAAGGTGTTCTGTGCTGATTAAGAAACCAGCACCAATGATTTAACGATTTCAAACTAAATCAGCAGTGGATGACAAGTGACTCGTTAACCAGCCGACACCCTATGATCCCGAGCATCCTTTTTCTCTGGTGGTTTCAATACCTCGGATAAGACATCGCCGCTCGCAAGCAGCTCGAGATCGGAATTTATTCCCATTGCCGTTACAACCACCGTAAACGAATTGCCTACAAATGCAATGCTTTGCGTCGTAATGCCAGCGCAGTAAAGAGGCGGGGCAAGGCCCGGGCTCTTTCTCCAAGACACACACGTTCTGTATTACTGAAAACGTATTATTCTCACTTTAATCTAGGATTAGTACGGTTACGAATCCGAAGGATTCCCCCAAATCCGGTAATCGAGGACAAATGAACGGAAGTAACGCATGATACTTTGTTGCCCCCTGAGTTAACGTCTGGTTGACTCTTATCACGAATTAGTACGTGGACATTCTATTCGTTAGACATTCAATCTTTCGTTAGAAGTATCCGATAACTATCCCCAGTGATTGCTCACCTCGGCTGCGACCAGGCTGCAGACACTGCTGGTGACACGCCACTTCCGTGGGGAAGTTATTGTTGTTTCCTTTACACCCTCCGTACCTGAAAATCTCACAGCGCTGCGATTCCTTGTTGAAGTGCCACCTGGTGAAGTTGCCCTGGCAAGGGCCTTCTTCCTTGCCCTGATCGCACGGGTCTGCAAATCGCCGACTCTTGTGTCAACATTTTTCCCTAATTACAGGATGCAGATTGATACAGTTAATGATTACTTACCGACATCGTCAGGGACCACGCAAAGTTCCTCGCACTCCTCCCGAGTTTTGAACTTGTTGGCATTACCAAGACACCCTCCATAGACAAACTGACCACATTGTTGCCTTCCAGCGTCGTAGTACCAGGTTGGGTAGTACCCTTCGCAAGGACCAGTGATTTTGGGCAGGACGCAGGCGTCTAAATAACGGCATTATTTGTAACTAAAGCGATGATACAATGTTACAAATGCGGAACAGAGGTTCTATCATTCCGCCTTCCATACCTCGTCCTTTAGGCTCAACGCAGATTTCCTTGCACTCCTCCTGCGTCTTAAAGCGATTGTCGTTGCCATCACAGCCACCATACCAAAACCTCGAGCACCCGCCATATTCAGTGTCAAAGAACCACTTGACGGTAAAATCTCTGCAAGGACCTCGGTCCCTCTCCAAGGAGCAAGCTGCTCCAGGAGTCGTGGGTACGGTCAAGCAGCCTTCAAAGTTTTCCCCTTGGGCCTCTTCCACTCCGTCAAAACAGCATCCATATTTCGAGGCATCGCAAGCGCATCCAGCAAAGTTCGGTCCTTTGGCGGGTGTCCTGCCATCGGAGCAGCAGTTGAACTTCGTATTTTCGCATCCGCAGCCTAAAAGGTATGAATCAACGTCAGACACCCTCGTGATCTTGAAAGCTCTCAAGGTTTCAATCCTGTCGTACCTTGACTGTGAGGTCCTTTAGCTATGTTCACGCCATCCGGACAACAGCCGAATTGATATGTGTAGCAAGGACATCCTTCGAAGTTGGGTCCAGTAGCCGGGGTGAACCGATTGGGACAACATCCATGAGTCGTGTACTGGCAACCGCAACCCTCGTTGTTAGGTCCTCTTGCGGCTGTAGAGTTGTCGGGACAACAACCGAATCTGGAATATTGGCATCCACAGCCATAAAGATCTGGACCTCTGGCCGGTAAAATGTTGTCTGGACAGCACTTGAAGGGAGTGGACAAACAGCAGCCCTCCATATTTGGTCCATGGGCGGGAGTCGAACCATCCTCGCAACACCCATATGTGGTGTTCTCGCAAGGCAGATGACAACCGTGGTAATTGCCTCCCAGTGCTGCCGGAAAGGGAAAACTCGTTACAGATTCCATTTCGTAGGAATCGTTCCATGTTTCTCCAGGTTCACTTCGTACCTGGGGATACTCCATCGGGACAGCAGCCGAAGTAGGAGGCGGTGCAGTTCTCGAAGTTAATGACCCCACAGCCTTCAAAGTTCGTACCGGAAGCGGGCTTGACGCCATCGGGGCAGCAGCCGTAGGTGGAGTTGGCGCAGTCCTCTTCCGGTTCCACAGGAGTGGTGCTTTCTTCGAGATCCGTGACCGGCTCCGTGGAGGTAACTTCCGGCTCCTCGCAACCTTAAATCCACGACACAATTAATTCATGAAAGTAACGCCCTCCAAGAGAAAAAACTAGGTAAAACCTTCAAAGTTTGGTCCAGAAGCCGGTCTTAGGTTGTCTTCGCAACAGCCGAACTTGGTCACGTTGCAGCAGCCCAAATTGTTGGCTCCGCTCGCTGGCGTCTCCTCGTCCAGGCAGCATCCAAATCTGGTGATGAAGCATTCGTTATGGAAATTGTATCATTAGCAGGAAAAATTTTATCTTAAATAGAGCACTTACTCCGTCTGGTTGCAAGGCTTGACGCAGCCTTCGAAATCGTTACCCTCTGCAGGAGTGACGCCATCCGGACAACAACCAAAGAGAGTCTCCTTGCAATGCGAATCTGGGCAACCTTCGTTGTCGGGTCCGATTGCGGGAGACACCTCGTCGGGACAGCATCCGTATTTGGTCTCGTTGCAGGTGAGAGGAGTGGGGCACCCTTTCCCGAATGGACCCTCGGCTGCAGTCACTCCGTCGTAGCAACAACCAAACGGAGCGGTCTTGCAAGTCTCCTTCTTCTTCCTGAGTTTGCACTTCCTCAGCTTGTGCTCCTTCGTGATAGCGTCCTCCACGGGGCTGATCGTCGTCCACAATTCGCTGACTGGAAATAAAGTCACTCGATCATGCTTTCTATCGAAAGGAAAGTTCGCCGGTGACCTGGGTCGTTTCTTGATTACTCACTATGCGTCTTGCCGGTGAGATCTACCTCTTCCGTCTCTGTTGTCTGATCGGTAACACCGCTTTCCGTTGTCAAACCTGTCTCCCCAGTTTCGGTCGTCATCTCACTCTCGGTCACGGTCGTTTCACCAGACTCCGTCGTACCTGATTCCGAAGTCGCCTCGTACTCGGTGGATTCCGTCGTTGCTCCAGACTCCGTGCTTCCAGCCGACACCGTTGATACACCGGATTCGGTCGTCTCTCCCGACAAGGTGGATGGTTCCGACTCCGAGGTTTCACCGGACACAGTTGACGAAGTTTCGGAAGTCTTTGGACTTTCGGAAGTTCCTGTGGTTCCAGAGATCGTAGAGGTCTCGGAAGTCTCCTCGGTGCTCTCGGTCACCGATGATCCTGTCGACTGGGTTACTTCCGTTTCAGTGGTGGACAACTTGCTGGTTTCGCTGGTTTCGCTGGTTTCGCTGGTTTCGCTGGTTTCGCTGGTTTCGCTGGTTTCGCTGGTTTTTCTGGTTTCGCTGGTTTCGGTGGTTTCGCTACTTTCACTAGTTACTTCCGTCGTGGAGGCGAACGTGCTAGTCTCCGTGAAGTCACTTTCCGAGGTAGCCGAAGTGGACGATTCTGAAAGAATCTCTGCTTTATTTCTTTTTCCACACTTAATTTGTAATAGACAACCCTACTTGCACGTTACTTACCGGTTGATTCTGAAGATTGAGAGGTCGGCAATTCAGTGGTTGACTCGAAAGTTGAAGCGGACTCTTCCGTCGAGCTTGATCCCGTGGTCTCTTCTTCCGTAGAAGTGCTTTCAGACTCGGTGGAGGAAGTCGTTGGTGTGGATTCGGTGGACTCCGTCACTGTCGATTCCGTGGAGTCTGTGGTTTCCGTGACGGTCGACTCCGTGGATTCGGAGGTCTCCGTGACGGTAGATTCCGTGGACTCTGTTTCAGAAGACACTGTAGTATCTTCGGAACCTGTGGTAGCGGTTACGTCCAAAGTGGATGCAGTGGAATAATCGGAAGTGGACGTCTCCTGAGTGTCCTCGGATCCCGTCGACTCGGTCGATCCTTGCGTCGTTGCCGATTCGCTGGTTGATAATTCCGTTGTACCCGATTCGGTGGTGGCATCCGATCCAGACACTAGTTTTTAATATTGAATTAAATAAATAAACACACGAGTAATGGTACACAGAAATTATGCGTGAATTTACTCGAGCGATGCAAACCTTCCGTTTCGCTGACTTCAGTGGCTTCGGTCGTTGATGACTCCGTACTCTCGGCGGTCTCTGAAGATTCTGACGATTCTGACGACATTGTTGATTCTGACGATTCTGACGACATTGTCGATTCTGACGATTCTGACGACATTGTTGATTCTGACGATTCTGACGTATCGGTGGACCCCGATTGACTCGATTCGTCGGTGGAACCAGACTCCGTGGTCACGGAAACGTCGGTGGAACCTTCGGTCACCACGGTAATGAAACTGGTAGTCGACTCTTCGGATGATCCACTACCTTCCACGGACTGATCCTTGTCCGATATCGAGGAGTCAGTGTAAAATGAACTGAACAGAGTGAAATCGTCACTTCCGGTACCACTGCCGCTGCCGGCGTCCGTGAAAAGACTTATGTCTCCGCGAATGTACGTCGAGTCGCTCATCATGATGTCGTCCAGACTGGTCCCTTCAGAAAGCTCCATACCAAACGGCGAACTCAACGGCGAAGCCTCCGTCATTCCTTCGTCCGCTTTTTTAGATTTAGTCTGAAGAAAAATATAGTAAAGATAGGAATTACTCTTAGAAGCGAAGGAAAAATTTTAAACTAGCAGAGGCAGACACTTACTTCACCCCCTAAGCTGGGATCGAATGTCACGAAATCCTCGTCTTCGTACTCTTCGCATTCCTCCTCCTCGATAGGCAGAACTGTAGTCTTCGACGGTTCCACGGGCAGCATTTCGTCTGAAATACGTCGATATTGAATTTTCCGAAAATTCACTAAATATTCAAATTATTTATGGAAGTGCATTCCTCACCTTCTCCGCAAGGATGATCGTTGCAGCTTTCCTCGCTGAACATGATCGTGTCTACGTCGCAATTGTCCGGCGAAACAGTTTGGTTGTCTTTCAAACAAACTACCTTTCTCGACATGTCGCCGCCTCCGCATGGCTTGGAGCACTAAAAGATTCAATTATAATTTTTTAATTCAAAAGTTTAGAGAAAACCTCCTGGACTACCTTAGGAGATGAACCGATTTAACAAGGTTCTCGTTACCTTGCTCCAAGGACCGACGAACCATTCTCCTTTGCACTGTTCGATCTCGGCGGTGCAGTTCTTCTTGTCCTCGTATTTTTTCTCCAGGTCGCATTTATCATCGGGTGCCTTCTTCAGAGTTTCCTCGTCCTCGAAAGTACCGCAGAAGACCTTCCTAGTCTGGACACCCGAGCCACACTTTGCCGAACACTGAACAGATGGAAATGGAAAAATTCATCCATTTAGAGGTCAAGAGAAATATAAATTAACAAAAGGAACAGGCATGTATCGCTTACCTCGCTCCACTGAGTAGCGTACCACTGAAATTCGCAGTTCTGCACATTTTCGCATTTCCTGGTCAATTCGGGCTTCTTTTCAGAATTGCACTTTTCATCCGGATAAACGTCTCCATCCTTCGTGGCGCAATGAGCGGTTCTTGTCTCTTGACTTAGGCCACATTTGTCGTCGCACTGTAAATCAATCACGTCGAATGAGACCAACGAAAGGAACAACGCACGGACAGCGATGTATTTTAAAAATTAGGAAAGTAAATGGAAACTCACGCCACTCCAATCAGAGACGACCCAGTCCAGTCCGGCGCAAGGTCTCAGCTCGCAGGGCTTTTCTTTTTCTGGAACTTCACCCTGGCAAACTTCATCGGCCAAAACCTCGATCTTCCCATCGTCCTTTTTGTAACAAGTTACCTTCCTAACCTGCTTGCCTATTCCGCACAGACGATCGCACTGAAAACACCGATAAAAACCCGTGACCACCTTGCGAAAAATAATCTGGTACATTTTCTTCTATCCTTTTTCGTTCATTTTTCGCATTCGAGATAAATGATGCAGACCTGCTCTATCTAATCTCCTTTCTTACCCTTATCCACGTCTCCTCCATTTTCATGAACTCTATGCAAAATAATCTTTTACCGGTTTCCAGGGTCCCAGGTGCCATTTCGGGCACTCCACGTCCTTATTGCATGCCTGCGTGGTGGAGGCTTTGGGACTCAATTTCTCAAGACACTGGGAATTGGCATTTTTATGAACTCTATGCAAAATGATCCTTTACCGGTTTCCAAGGTCCCAGGTGCCATTTCGGGCACTCCACGTCCTTGTTGCATGCCTGCGTGGTGGAGGCTTTGGGACCCAATTTCTCAAGACACTGGGAATCGTCGACCACCGAGGGAATTCCTCCTGCGACGACTTGCTCGCATTTAATCTCCCTCGACTGTACACCACCTTCGCCGCAAGGTTCACTGCAAGGACCCCAAGGACCCTCCACCCACTCTGGAGGACATGGTTCGTCACCACACAGCTGGGTGTCGGCTGGTTCCAGCTGGGGGTCACAGAGGTTCTCGTCCACTCGCTCGTTGTCACGTCGGCGTACGCAAGCGACTCTCCTCGATTTATAGCCTTAAAAAATTAATTAATTAACCATTAATTAAGGGGTCCATTCCCACTTAGAACTCATTATAACTCTATTTAGAGCAATACCTCCGCCGCAACTCGCGCTGCAAGAGGAGAATTCGTCGGCTATCCAAGTGTAACTGTCGGGGTCCGATTGCTGCGAGAACTTCTTCGGAATGCTGTACTCGTAGTGCACGCCGACGTTCTTGTCTTGGTACAGCAACTACGGGGCATACCCAGAATATCCGGCCATGGACTTTGTACAGGTCCTGGGGGGAATTTGCTCGAGGAGGAATTTAGCGGATGCTTACCACGACGTAGATCGCTTCGCTGGTCGGTCCCAGGGCGGCTATGGTATCTGGAGCTGCGAAACCCTGAGGATCCCTAGAATAGTGAAATATCGTCCCTGCGAATCGCAGACTGCGGGGGAAGTCTATCCTCCAGTTGCCGTTCAGATAATAATGCCCGGTCGTGTTTCGAATCGCTGAAAATTTTAACCAATTTTGTTAACCAGTCATTTCTGACGACGATACGACGAGACTACATCATCCAGAAAAATATTTGGCTGAATCATTATAATTTTTGTTGACTTAAACATAGAATATGGCTATTATGTGGACAACCAAATAATTAGTTGACATGACTAAATCCTTCGGTTAATAATTTTTGGTCGATCGCGTTAAATATTTGAAACATTTTCTGCAATTAACCAAATGTAGGTAATCAACCGATAATGTTATATGAACCAAATTTTTTTCTACGTGCAGAGGTTGAAGCGCAGGTCTTTGGCGATTCCCTAATGTACTAACCGAGGTAATTGTTGGACGGCCGGACCTCTTTGATCACGATGTTGGTTGCTCCTTCGGGGATGAGAAGGATGTCGATATACCCTAGAAAAGAAATCAACTCCTTGAATATTGAGTCTAATATGTTTCGTGGTTAAGAGGGATGCTGTAGGCATCACGCACCAACTTGCAGATCATCCGTGTCGAAGAGACCACTGACGGTGTTACAGTCGGAACCGTCACCTCCACAATCTCTGCAAGCGTCTTCCTTGGCGTCGCTACCCAGCATCTTGTCGCAACCTACGGGCTGAACAAGATCACGAAGGTTTCCCTCGTTCACCCTGGTCGAGGAGATCCAAGAACTCCAACTGGAGCGAGAATCTAGTTCCAAGTTGTACCTACCATGCATCTTCCCTCGACGCAGACGTCGTTCTTCTCGACGTCGCAGGGCGTCCCGTCGACGACGCTCAGTTTGTGTCTGTAGAAGAAACGCTCGCCTCGCGGCATGCAGTTCAACTCGCATTTGTTAGGGCCACCGGTGTAAGGTATCCAGCTAGAAAATGAACCAGTCGCAGTATTTTACGAAAAAATCGGCCACTCGGACAATTTACTTGGACAATTTCCACTTAACGAGTTTCTTCGTCCGGGAACGACGACGAAGAAGGACTTACTCGTAATAGACGTCCTCGAAGGGGACGTTGTTGAACTCCGTGCATTGTTCGGCCCTGAAGTCCTTCGGTTCTCCAGGGCAGTCCTGGAAGAAATTCCAAGTCCGTTGATCGATGAAACCCAACGAAGAGGGATCGAGATTTGGCGCACTCGCGATTACGAGGCCAAGGCCGATGATCGACTCGGTTAAAAGAAGCAACGCGTCAACCTTGACGATGGCCGGAATGAACATCTCCAAGCGCAGCTGCAAGTGAAATCTCGCGTGCCAGCGCGTGCGATTTCTTTCTCCGTCATCCTTCTTCCGTCCTTTTCCTTTTTCTCCCCAAAGCACGCATGTAGGTCGTCGTACGGAAATAAATCGGACGCGCGGTTTCTTTCGAAGGGATCCGAGGGTCGGGTCCAGCGGGAACCAGATCCACGAAGGAAAGAAAAATGCCGCATCATGAAGCGAAATGAGAGTGGGTGTGTTTAATTCGAGCCGAGTGATCCAGCTCGGGTCTTCGGGGTGGAAAAGGTGGAGAAGGTGGAGAAGGCGAATTGGCTTTGGTCGGCTCGAACCCGAAGAGGAGGCGTCGGAGGTGTGGCTTTCCCGTAGACGCTGGACCAGTTTGGGCTCATCTCGTTACCCGGAGAATATCGTCCGATAAAAACGAGCAAATTAATTAGAAAAAGAGGCCCCGGGCGTCAAGAGTCTCGTCGGAGGTGGGAAATACGTGGAAACCTTCGAAGGAAGTATATCACGCCCCAGCCTATACACGGGACTCGAGAGATTTAAGAGGAAGGGGAGAAAGAGTTCTCTTAGACGTCAAAAGCGTGACTCGAGGATCGAAAATAGCCCCGCAGTCGAGGAAGCATCGCCAACGGGGGAACAAGAATGAGAAATGGCGACGGGGAACATCCGAGATCCGTTCCACATTCCAAGGGCCTCGAGACGCATCTGCATACAGATGCCCTCGCGAGAATACTCGCTCCGAGTTCGGAAGGCTTCCAGGAACGATTTTTCCATACCAGTCGGACTTCCAACGACACCATGGAGTATCCCGTGTCGCGCAATAGCGCCTTACCTACGCATAGCGGAAAGCCCCTCTACGGATGAGTTTCCGGCTCTCGTGATTTCTTTTGAGACTGAAAACATCCGTGCAAAAGGGACGATGAGGTCGAGCGAAACGGAACTAGATGAGACTTCTCTTCCGACCTTCGCAGACAAGGGCGAGGTCTCGCACGAAAAGAGGAAGAGCTTCGTAACGACGGAAAGCTTTTACTCGCAGGATATCGCGTTACCGCCCTCGGCGTGCTCTCTGACTCCGCTGCGTTTTCCCCGCTTCCGAAGAAGCGAGACCACTCCCACGGGAACCGAGGAGGCTTCGATCCCACCTCCCATTCGAGCCCTCCTTTGTCCTCTGCTTATGAATTCCTCTGGTTTCGAAATTCAAAAATAAAAACTCGAGCAAAGGAAATTCGCAGATATCGCCTCACTGCTCTGAATGGACCCTCTGACTCCACGACATTTTCCTCGTTCCCGAGGAGACGATGCCCTTCTCTGGTAAACCGTGGAGACCTCGATTCCATCTTCCTTCCGAGCTCCCTTTTTGTCCTGCGCCTTCTAGAGAAATTCGAAAGTAAATCTCCAAGTGGAGGAAATTCGCTGCACGAAGCAGGGGAAACGTGGCCAGCGGTCCTCCGTCAATTACGAAGGTGCCCGTCGAATGGATCCTCGGAGGCGATATTTCTCGCCAGGAATCTCCCCCGGTATCGAGAGCCTCCTCGAGACGTACCGCCGAGGAAGGGGTTGCCGTTCCCCCGTTCGGAGTATTAAATTAAGATCGAGAACTCCGGGGGCCGGGAATGGCTTTAAGGAGGGAGGCACATCGGGGCCATTTATTTGCCCTCCTCGCCCTGGGGACCGCATGGGCGAACTTGTCCACGCGTGGAAGGAAAGGGGAGACTATTTCGGGAGATTTTTCCTCAAGCTATCCAGAGCGTAGAATCGACTTCAGGTGGCCAGAAGAGCGACTTCGCGATTTTTTCCACAAACAAGCCAGAGTGTGCAATCGGCTTCAAATGGCCAGAAAGGCGACTTCGCAGATTTTGGGGACCGAACCTTGCGAATTTCCTGGGGTCCTCGATCAGCCTAAGACCAAGTAAATATTGCCGGCAGTCCTGGATTTTCGAGGACTTCCAAGGACTGGAAGGTTTCCGAGTACCACGTGGGCGAACTTCGTGTCAAAGAAAAGAGAAGGCAATTTTGAATGATTTTTTTCCTACAGTTAGTCAAGATCTGAAATCGACCTCGAATGGTCAAAAGAGCAACTCCGCGGATTCCGATGAACGAACTTTGGGAATTTCGTCGGGTCCTCGATCGGCTCAGAACCAAGTAAATCACCAGCAGTCCCGGGTTACCGAGAACCTCCGAGAGTGGTCCGGACATCTCGACTTTACGAGGGAACTCCGTCGTCGAGGAGGCTCTCCAGACCGGGCACGCGTTTACGTCTCGAACATCCGCCATGCGCCGAGTTTGCGGGAATTAGGACGTGCAAAAACGCCTCAAGAGAGCCGAGAGGGGGTCCAGAGAATTCCGTCCCGTTCGCCGGGATTACGCCGAGGGTCGCGCATATCTGAATTATTCGCGGTAGAGCGGTGCCCGTGGCGATCCGGGGAAGACAGCGAATACGGAATAGGAAACGTTTATTACACGGCAACGCGGAGCGTCTGACGATTTCTTATTCATACAGGGTGTATAAATATATTCCGCGTGTATTCATACGAAAGAAAGGCACTGTCGTGGAGGGAGAGAAGGAGAAGGAGGGGGACGAAATCGTCGCGACGTGCTCGCCCGCGAATTTTTCGCAAGCATCGCGAGCGAGTTCTAAGAGGTACCCACTAAGTACGCTTTAAGGGTCTCGTTAATCCCCGAGTGCCAGCGGCGTAAAGAGCACGAGAGACTTCGCGGAGCGATCGTAAATGTGCATCCGAGACTCAGAGGGTCCTCTTCGTGCACCTGTACGAGAGACATGAGAGATACCACGCAGCATCCCCGACGAGTGCCCTTTCCTAATAATATTTTCCTACCGGAACTCCCTTTGGAATCCGAGCATCTTCTCATTTCTATATTCCTACGAGAACGAGGAACGTTCCTGAATAAAAGACGACGCAATAATTGCACTTTTCGATGCATTACGGAGACGCTGCGAAACGGGTTCGGAACATAAACCCATAGATACAGACTGCTAACTCAATAGAGGAAACGCAAATAGTTATTCTCTCAAGAAATCATGAATTTTAAGTTTCGAGGTTCTCCTCTAGACTCAAGAAATGCGAAGGATGTCGTTTATGGAAGAGAGTTTCGGGTCGAACCGATTGAACTCTCGTAATGGCGACGTGGCGCCTCCTCGTTGCCAAACCCGACGCCTATTTGGTCGATTAGGAAGCGCGTCGCCAATAAATGGTTTTGGCGACACGATCCTTCCTCGTAATTCTGTACTTACTTGGATGTTGCAGGAGAAGAACCTCTTGCTCGCTCCCGAACATCTCTCCATCCCGTTCTCGCTGCAACAGAGGAAATCGCGAAAATGTATATGTGGACATCGCAAGTACAGGTACACAAGTAGGTAATCTCGCCAGAAAAGAGTAAAGCAAGCAAACCAGATTTATTCAGCGGAGTCGAGGCGTGCTTTGTTGCATCCTGGTCCTCGAGACTCCGTCTCCGAGGAGGCCAAAGAAAACCGCAGTGAATTTTTGCACCTTTCATTTCCCATCCCGGCCCCCTTCCGAGGATTCGCCTCGCAAAAAGCCCGAGAGGAATGGCGACCGTTCATCTTCCGGCGCGATAATTCATATCCCCCGGTCGCATCCTTGCATACATTACTCGCGAACAGGTGAAACCCGGCCCTGGACAAAACCTGGTCGCCCTTCCTCTCAGAGCCCTTCTAATAGCGCGCCGCCACTCGCGCTAACTCGAGAGAGTGCAAATCGAAGCCGGCTTCGAAAAAAATTAAGGCCGTTCAAAGGGCGCGCCGGCTCGCAAGAAGAGTCATAAACTCCGCCCTCGAGGTCAAAAGTCAGCCTCGAAAACCTCCGAACTCTTTGGCGCTACGTCGAGGAGAACTGTCCAACTTGGCGGCCATTTTTAAGGGGTGTCGGTGGTCGCTCGATTTCGCGGCAATAATTCAATAGCGGCGAAATTATGCGTCCTTACAGTTGCGCCCTGATAGATCAGCTGAATTAACTCGTTATTAAGTACAATTGGCGCTATTATTGTCCAAAATCAAAGATGACCTCCCGGAAAAAAATAATTAATACGGTTCAAAGGGCGCGCCGGCTCGCAAGAAGAGTCGAAAACTCTCCTCGCGAGGTCAAATGTCAGCCACGGAAACTTCCGAACTCCTCTTGGCACTATGCCAAGGGGAACCGTCCAACTTCGCGGCCACTTTTAAGGGGCGCCGATGGTTGCCCGATTTCGCGGCAATAATTCGAGAGCCGCGAAATTATGCGTCCTCGCAGTTGCGCCCTAGTAGCATGGTCGGATTAACTCGTTATTAAGTACGACCAGCGCTATTACGGTCGATCGGTTATCGGCAAACGATTTCTCACCTCCCCCCCCCGAGAGAACGTCTTATGTAAGCCGGCGCTTAAACCGCGACCGTGCCCAAAAGTGCACCTCGGGAAGGACTTTGGAGCAATACGATCAATCGTGAGAAATTAGTGCCAGACGTCGCGAGGTGACCGTCCAGGAACCGGCTGGACCGAGGCCACCTCTGGGCGGTCTTCATGGTCCTTCGTGGTACATAGATATCACGGTCCCCGGCATGAATTTACGCCATTAACCCGCGGAGTTATGCCTCGTAGACTTCCGCACACGTATGGAAGCATTCTCGTAAATTTACACCTCGTGGTAACATTTCATGAGTGGGACGAACGGGTGATGTAGCTGCGCCTCCTAGGGTGCACGCTAACGGAGAACTACGCGTCCAATTAGCGTTAATATCTGGGATATTGTTATTTGTTAGCACGAGATAAGTTTTCTACGAGGAAGTAGCTGGCTGAAATTGAAATCACCGAAACCACTCACTCGACGTCGAGACAGCTCCTGGTCTGGTGTGCCACACCTCCCCCGCAGGACCTGGAGCATGAGCTGGGCGTGGACCACGGGCTCCAGGATCCTCTCTCGGGCTCGTCCACGTCCAGGACGAAGCTCCCGGGTAAGTAACTCTCCCCGTGCTGTCGCCTGTGCCTGCCATGCCTCAATTTGATGTGATGCTGTAACGAGATGGCCGAATTTAATATATCGATCTTCTTGGCCCCGATCCGACAAACTATCTAAGGGAAATTAATTACTTGCGATAATCTAAATGTTTCTTCCTTAAGAAATTCCTCGACTCCGGTATATATATCAAGTGGAAATGAATTTCCGAGAAGAATTTCATGCAGAAAATTAGACTCAAGTATCGAGAATTTAAAGAAAGAAATATATCACAATTTGGATGAAATATTACGCTAAACTCGAACAACCTAGTTACTGATATAAAAAATAATTAATGATGAATATTGTTCGAAGTTGACGAAGGTTGTTTCATGAATACTATTCATTCTTTTAGTCTTTCCCTCTTTGGAGTGAATCATCTTTTCTTTCTACCACGTTTGCGCCTAGTAAATGTAACGAAGACGAGTGAAACGAACTTAGCGAAGCTGAGTTTATGAAAATGGAGTTTCGTCTACAATTTGCCTTAGTTTTCCTCGATCTTACATTGCGAATAGTGCCAACGAAGATCCATTGACCCAAGAATTATATTTTCTGGAAAGTGATTTTTTTTCCACCTACTGCAGACGCCATTTGGGAACTGCGGGGCAAATGTCACGGGATGGAGCAACGATTCCCTGGGATCGTAGATCGGCTTCCATTAGCGGAAACATCGAGACCAAGTGGGGAGAGTGGAACTTCAATTTCAAGGCAACTCCTAGCCAAAGGGATTCCCGTGGGACTCACGGGGGTGGAGGGGCAGAAACGAGGAACCGACGACCCCGCGGTTAAGGGCGGTCGTTAGGGGCCGATCCGATTGATTTGCCACCTGTTCGACGGGGAGCCAATTGCCCGGGGCTTCGATCAAGTCTTGGGAATTGCGCCGGGATTGTAAATAATAAACGAGTGGGCGAAGTGGGCGAAGGTCGGCTCCAACTCGCGGGGGGTCGACGAGTCGAGGGGCGTTTACGAGCCGCGATCGAAATGCCGCTCATCGAATCGGCGGTTGGAGGAAATTCTCGTCCGTAAAATTACAGGGAGCCGAACGATCGTCCGGCCCTCCGGGAGGGAGCGTCTTAAGGCTAATTTCCCGGCGTAAACGGCAGGCCAGGCCGAGCGCCTCGGGTCTCGCGGTGCTCCACTAAATCTTACCGCGATCCGGCAAAGCCTTGGCACGCGTCCAGACTAACCGTCTGGGCGACGCGAATCCGGTGCTCTTGACACCTCCGGAGATAATTCGCTGACAATCCAACGTATTAGCCTCATTAAATGGATCTGTGTCGTAGGGCTATTCACTCGGAAACCAGTGAAAACGATTTTATTCTTTGAAAACCAATAGCTTTGAATTTCATACGATAAATAGCAATCTAATCCAACAAGTGATAATCGGCCTTATAACCGTGACATTGTTCAGTGATTTTCAACGATTTCAAGTCATTTCTGCTTGGGATTTCCAGTTGATTTTCACGTGATTTAGAGCATTTGAATTCATGATTACCAGAGGGAATAACCCCTCGACCGGTGTATTTCCTGCACCATATCTCGTGCGTTCACCTACGTGCGAATTTTCAAATTGTAAGTCAACCGCAGTCCATGGTGCCGGCTACGTCCACGGCAGCCGGGAAACTTTCCTCGAGGAAAAATTGATTTTCTTTCACGAGCAGGGTCCCGTAAAAAAGTCAGGTTACGCCACTGTTAGGCCTGCTTCCACGATTCGAGTTTATACCCGGGATTAGCCAACCTGGGGTTAAGTTTAACCGACGAGTTAATTGATGATGGATTAATGGGACTCGAGTTTCGAAAGCTTATTCGGAACTCAGGTTTACGAAATCCGTTAATTTTTTTTTTGGGGAACGTCTTTTGTCATCGGCGAGTCACTTTAACGTGGGATTAACTTCTCGAACGCCCAAATTCGAACTGTGGAATCTGGTCTTAGCAGTCTCTCGACATGAGATCCGTGGTTGCGAATAATTACCGATTTTCTCCAACGGTTTCCTAATGTCTGCATGACATCCCCGAGAGAAGTCACGCATGTTCCCTGAATTTTCGGATTCCCGGAAGAGCGCGACTCCTTCTCAGAAGTCTGCAGTCAACTCGAGAAAACGCCTACGCATGGTCCTAGGATTCCCGGGGATTTTCTCTTCTGTGAAAGCATTTCCTGCTGACTCCTCCGTTCTTATCACTGCCCTACCGCGAGCCTCCCATTCCCAAGCGACTACCAAGAATGGGGTGAGCTCGAATTTATTTTTCTCCCGCTCGTTTGCCGAGGCGATCGGTGCATTACGAAATTGCTTAAATGCACAGACGCGAGTATTATATATAAAATAAAAATACTAGAACGAACAGAAATGCAAAGGACCCCTCGAAAAATTTATATAGAAGAGACTCCGAACTTGGCCGCGAGGAGGAAGCCACGTTACGAGAGAATTGGCACGCACTTCGCCACAGGACGCAAACGGTGATAATGGCGTTAATTTAACGAGCCGTTGGCGGCCAGAAGGCATCCCGTTGCTTCACCGTGGAATTGCTTAACGCGTATCACCCTCTCGGAGGAATTGTGCATTATCTACGGGGAATATTTCAGCGATAATTCATCGAGTCCCACAGCCTCGTTTACTTACCCACCCCCTGCGTTTCGAAAGGACTTACGCCCATACCTTGACTCTACGGTAGACTAAATATCTCTATCGGGAGCTTTAAAAGATTAATCCAAAGAATAATTTACATATGTTAAGGTCCTCGTCCTGAGTTTAGATATTTTGCCAGGGACGCCGATGTAATTAACTATCCTGGGTTTCTAAGGACGAGGAGGATCCCGCCGAGAATCTCGCGTGACGTATTTACGCGTGCACGGCAGATGTAACCGAAAGCAAACGCTGGGAATCGAGGCTCAAAGGGAAGCTCCTCTTTTTTGGGAGAGTGGCAAAGCGACGATTAAGGCCGACGTAAATATTCCCCGCCCGGCGGACGCGTCGAGCTTTCGCGTCGCAGCTGCGGTGATTTTTGCCGCGAGCGTGGGAGTGCGGCCGCAGCATCTGCACGCTTACGTTCATTTCCGTGTAATAAAAGCGTGCCCTGGAGCTTTTTCCAGCTCCGCGAGGCCAAGGCGAGGCGAGAGGCTGAAGCTAGTAGCTCGCACTCGCTCGCGCTCGTTCAAAGCGATGAAAGCGGGCTCGCGATGCGCCCCGGGACGCTCGCAATTTTCGAGAACGACCCTGCACCTTCATTACGCGGAAAACGCGCCGGCGAAGGTGCTAAAAAAAATGTCGGCCGGTCGTTTCGAGCTTAGCTGGTTGAATAAAAATTCCAGTCCTCAGCCAGGAGCGAGATTTGCAAATTTTTGCCGCTGAGAAACATCGATTTCGCGAGTCGGCCGAAAATGGCCGCCACCCTAACTCTAGCTTGCCAATAACCTCCCGCGCGGGCTTAGAGACTGCAAGACGAGCAAATAACGCCTATATCCGGATTAACGAGGCATCTTCCCAGCTGCGCGAGTTTCGAAAGGCGCATTAGCGGCCAGTTGGCCGGTGCTAATATTATCTCGATTAAATGACCCGTGAAGCCCCGGTTCCCACCTCAAGGCTCTCCCGCAAAGACCGACCTGACTCGACGGGAGCGCTCTCCGCGGTTTCCCCAGAACGGGAGGAAAACGTCGTTTTTCCCTCCGAGATGCGAATATGCGGCGAGCTTTTGCAAAAGCTCCGACATGCCCGTTTGCTCGGCTCGAGCACTGAACAACGAAGAAACGCCGCTAACGAAGAGTCGTTATGCACTCGCCCGGTAAGGTAATCGTTTGGATTCGCGAATATCTCGCGATCGGACTCTCGAGAATGGAAAAACTTCGTTCTTCCCTCCGAGGACCAACCACCCGACATTGGAATAAAAAAAAGTACGGTGAAATAGGCACCAATCCCTAAAAGAGATGTGATATATTCACAACTACAGAAGAACAAAACTGCAAGCACCTCTCCGTGTATAAAAAACCTCCCTAAGTTCAAGGTCGCTACGAATTGCTCTTTCTTAAAAATGAATATCTAGACTCTGCATCATGCTACAAGATACGAAAGGTACTGAAGTCGTCCCACCAACCCAAGGCTTCTTATATAACCTGATATTAGTTTGTCATTCTTGTTTTTCATTTACAGACCGTCTTCACTAGTTTTACGTTATTACTGCTAATCATATTTCAGTATAATTAATTATCACTTATTGGTACGTAAGATGCTAAGTGATCCCTTATCGAGTACTACTCGGCGTCATTTACTTTCAAGTACTAATTGGAGTCATGTTAATACGACTTGAAGGGATTGAGAAGAAAACTTTGTTCAGATACAACTACAGATAGGAAGTATAACAAATCGTAACTTTTTGAACTGTATGTGCATATCTCATCCTTTTTACGGGCTGGCGTTTGTTTTAAAGTTCGTGTGGCAATATTTAATACTATTTTTTCTTAACGGAGGACGTCTCAAAAAAGGCGACGCGACTCTTCGGCGGTCGCGGGTCAATTGGTTCGTCATCCTCGGCGACGCGATCCTCGGTGGTTTCGCGCCTCGCTTCTCCGAGAATTCCCCGATGCGGTCGCGCTAAACGGTGACTAATCCGACCGACGCGACCCGATTATTAGCCGAGTCTTCTGCCCGACTAATAAATTTCAGACAATTACATGCAATGAATTTCGCGATACTAGACTGAGGGAAAAAATGTCTATCATTCAAAGAAAGTGATTTCTTAGAATTTCTATAATAATGCTCATTCGGATCAAACAACATGGAATTGGAATTACCTCAAGAAAATATTCGTTTTTCATTCCAGGAGATGATAATACTCGGTAAGTTTCTTTAAAACTGTAGCACGTTCAATGACAACAAATGACGGTGGAACATTTTACTCCACCTATTGAAAGAAATAGTTTCAGTGGCATGAAATCGTATTTCATTGAACTGAGAAAAGATAATGCCTGAATGAAAAAAAAAAAAAATGTTCTTCTTTGAAGGAGTTAAATACGTGAAACGTATAGTTTCTATTTCTAGCTTTATCATTTAGAAACGAAATATTCGATCAATGCATCCGAATTAAACATTCGGAATTTTTTAGTTAAGGCTATCTTTGATTTTATACAGCTATTTCTTTGAGTTCATTTAAAGAAATGATTTTTTTCAGAGACAGAATTTTTTTATCAGCATTGACGGACCTTGTCGGGGGTTCGTCGACGGCACGTCGCGATTCCGCCTTCTCTTCTTCCTGGGGAAGCGAATTTCGCCGCTTCCGAACGCGGTACCGTAATCGCGGCTTGACCTCACGGTCGCGGTACGTTTAGTGGCCGACACGTATGGTCGCATGGAAGAAGCGTGGAGCTAATCTATGCTAATACTGGCTGCGGTCTCGTGGTCGAGAAAGGGCAACGTCCTCGTCGTTTGCGTCGCTTATGTGCCCGTCACTCGAGGGGAGTAAAGCGCTCCCACGCTTCCCGAAAAACCGCAGAAGGACGCTCGGAAATGCTCCTCCGGATTTTTCCTGCGGCGCGAGAAACCACCCGGTTGGCGAGACGAGTTCGCGGTTAATTCGCGAGCGGAACGGACAGGTCGGTGATTATCGCCTCCGTTTCGTCGGCAATGTTGCTCGCAACGAGACGAGGGATACTTCACTCCCATCCGCGAGATTGAATCGAGACGGCCTTCGACCACCGAGAAAATTGGCGTTAATGCTCGACACTAATCTAGCCCCAGAATCTTGACCAAACAAGGGACTATTTACTGAGAAAATCGTGTTTTAATGCCGAACGTTCCATGCTGCTGAATTGCACTCTTGTCTATCACATGAGATCGAAGGAAATCAATTCTCAAAGAAGAACGTCGTTTCGCCTGATTTTCGAGTGAACTACCACTTTGGACCAATCCTCGCTCCGATACTTCGTGCCAATGGAGAAACCATATTAAAAATGACCACTAGAGATGTGAAATAAGCACCAATCCCTATCAGGGATATCGTATGAAATTAGTTTGTACAGCTACGATTTGTAAAGTTATTCTTTCTTCCTGTAGTTGTACATATCATATCCCTTTCAGGGCACATTTCGTAACTACTTTTCCTCGGTACAGCCACTCCGGGACTTTTTCCTGAAATTAATAATTTCTCGCTAAAAGACGCCGTGTGTTAAGCGCGGTCTTTCCGCACAGCAGCCGCGAGGAAAAAACCGAGATCCTCCTGGAAACTGGAGGAGGTACGATGCAACGCGATCCGATTCATCTCGGTTCATCTCCGAGGAAGATCCAAGTACGCTCGTCATTTTCTCGGAGATCCTCTATTTTCTGGTATCCCTTACACCTCTGCAAGGTCAATCCCGGAGAAGTCGTCCTCCGAGAGGAGGATAACGTTGCAGGCGATCCAACGACGCGGTCCTTGGACCAACCGCTGCTAGAGGAGCCTCGCGAGATGATCCTTCACCGTCAGAAATTAACTTCTGCTTATCCGAGGATAACGTCTTTTTTCTCGAGAAACCGAGAAGATTCCAAAGTTGTCCGCTCTTCTAACCGTACCGTATCTCGGAGTACCCCGAGAAGCCTCGTGGAGTCGATGGCGACTTTTTCCCTTATTTTCAAGAAGAAAGATCGAGTTCGAGAAGAGCACCGTAGAGTTTATCAAAATAGAAGAGAGGAAATGGACGGAATCTAAGGAATACCCGGAGGAGGTTAGTCGGAGAGGTATCTTCACTCTCTCAATTTATTCAAGAATTCTTCCTGCTCAATTGTAGAATATATTGGAAGCATATTCAAGACATCACTTAAGCTTCATTCATCGCAAAACGCATGCGATGCACGCGCAGCGTGCTTGCAAACGAATTCAAAAACAGAAAACCCTCTCCGTGTTACCTCCTTCGAACACGAACATATTTATATAAAGAGCATACAAGAATGGTGGATACGGTTTACCCAGCACTACCCATGTCGAAAATTAATTCAAAAGTTCTGTACTAATTTTCCTCTGCTATAGTTTACCTATAATAATTCCTTGAAAAGTAGCCGACCAGCGCATCGATTAACGCGTATCAGCCGCGTTCTGTAAATACTCCCGCAAGGATAGCGCTGCATAAACCGCGTCCACTATTTTGAAAACACCTTGTACAAAATCATACGATAGCAACGTCTTTTCCGTGTCTATAAACTTTACGAGACGGATCATCTTCGCGTTTCGGAATCGCGGAGCTCCTGGAAAGGCAAATTGGGCCGAGGGAGGATGTTCTGGCTCGCCGCCAGGTTCGGGGGCCTGGGGCCTCGAAACCCGAACCAGCGTCAAAACGAGAAGGCAATAAAACCTAGAGGAATGCCGGCGGCCCTTGGCCGAGGCTCAAGGCCGCATCTCCTATGGGGTCCGAGACCACGAAGGCCCTTTCTACTTACGTATCTCGCCGAGGTGCCGCTCAGGTGTGTCGCCGCGATGAACACGAGGAGCACCGACCACCTGAAACCGATCGAGAAACCAGTCGAGTTAGTCCTTGCTCTCCTACTTCCTATCGTTCCGTTTATTTCTACTCGACTCGTGCCGTTTCGGTCGGTTACTTTTACCCGCGCGATCTTAATCGCTGGTAAATTTCACCACGCGGTTTTTATTCCGCCGCGGCCGACCGCCACCGTTGCGCGCTCGTCTTATCCGAATACTCATCTCGTCTCCCGTAATATACCCAATGAATATATATATATATATATTCGCGGTTAAATCCTTGGAAAAAGGGAGAGGAGACCCGCGTATCTCCGGGCGGACCGCAAGGTTCAGCGAGAGTTCTTTCTCCCTCTCTCTGGTAACATTGACCCAGGCTTTGGAACGGCAAGGCGACGCGACGGGTTATGGCAAGACGAGTTTCGCCCGAGATGCGGTCTCGTGTCGGCCGTTACCTCGGCGTGGGCAGAGAGTTACGTATACGGGAAACGTGCTTTATTTCCGAGGCGAAAGTGAATATTCCGCGATTCGCGGCCTCCAGCCGCGGCCGAGTTAAGGAGCGGGGCAGTGGGTCGCACCCTTCGAGCTCGACCCTTCAAATCCCCCTTCGAAACCAGATTCGAAAGGAGAACGGCTAAACTCGAAATGAAAGGAAAAAGCAAGCAAATGCATCCTTCATTTCGAAGAACAGAATTAACACGGAATAATTCGTACAAAAGTATTCGCGATTTTTAACAAGGTTACAAAATAAAGGAAAGAAATCCGGACAAACGTTAGCAAATGTACTGCAGCGCGCTTTTCTCAGGATATGTAGAATTGCGCATGGAGACGTGCTCGTACATCAGGGTATAAAAATATACGAGTTTGAATATGCATTATGACATAGTCATGTACCTGTATATTACCTTCGTACGCAATTGATTACGAACATTTGCAGGGATGCAATCGAAAATTGTTATACGAAATATTTTGATATCTAATATGTACGCCCTCTGAAATTCCTATACTTGTTTACTAAAATCCCGCAATTGTACCCGGAATTTCGAAATGTCACGTTGGAAAAATTTCGAGAACCCGTGTACTATGTTTCGAACGGATATTTTGAATAGTTTATATATTTGAATTGTAAAAAAATGACCATTTGCTTTAGATGCGAGAGTGCGGGATTAGCCATGGTTTTGGACCGCAAGAGTTCTTCGACTCGGATACGAAAGGTTGGCCGCGAATTCGGCGGTCGTGTCGCCGGACCTATCTCTTCTCCGAGCTCGCAATAAAAAGATAATTAAGCCGGGCCTGGCACGCGCAACGCCCGAGGGCAGCCGGGTTAATTGAAACGCCGCTTTTCGCGAGCAATTAACGTTTCCCTCGACAAAACGCTCGGCCGCACTTGCGTGTATGGCCCTCCTTTTTGCTCATCCCGCTCGATGGCCGATCGGCCCCGAAGAGGTCGATTAGCGAAACGAGAGAAACGCGCGGCCCCATGAATATGCAGATCCGAAGCCGGGATACTTTAAACTTCGTATCTGCAGGATTGGTGCACCGACTCGATAACCGCAGATCTCGTATAATTGCGCCGCCCAGTGCGTCTTCCGTAGCGATGAGCAAAATCGGTCCGACTTCTTACTTGCAAGACCACAAAAAACTGCAAGGATGCAGTTTTTGCAAGGAGACCGGGACTGAACCGTGCAAAATCAATACTCGACTGAGAGGGACTACACGCAAAAGAAGACATTCGCACGTTTCGAAAAGGACAGCATTCCTGATATTTTGCTGTTTCTGCAGGAATTATTGCACCAACGGCAAGGATTTTTGCAATTGTATCCAACAAAGCTGTAACGATAAGAGAGCTTCCTGCAGAAAAAATGTTTGCTAAGTCAGCAAATGAATTTGTAGCAACGGTGAAAAAAGTAGCGTTGCTACGCGAACGAACGAGCAATATACAATGTTCTTACTGGGAATGAAGATCACAGCCAAGAATAGAATTTGTGTTGCCCCTGAAATAATCGTGGTTTCTTTTTCTTTTGCCAATGAAATACAAAGGTTTCCGAAGAAAAATGTTGCTCTCTCATTTTCAAGCGTTCACATTTTCCGAAGCAAATAAAATGTCTTGTTATGACGGCGAATTATTTCTCTGCGTGCAAGACCAAGATCGAGACCGAACCGTGCAAAACAAATACTTGAATGAGCAAGAGGAAAGCTCGAGTAGGCAAAACCATGACCAAGAATGAACCGTGCAAATCCAATACTCGACTGAGCAAAACCAAGATTGAACCGTGGAAACAAATTACTGAACTGCACAAGGCTCGAGTACGGAAGATCAACACCGACTTTGCTCATCGCTGATCTCCCGCGACTCCACCCCTTTTTCTTCTTTCCAAGCAACCCGATTTCCGAATTCGACAGCTCCTCTTCCCTCGATTTCCTTCCCACGTCCGAGGGGAACAAAGATTACGCGACACAAACCAGGAGATGAGCGCTCGAAGGTGTAGGTGCGTCCTCCTTTCGGAGGAATGCCCCACGTCGACTTCTCGGTGCCCCCTCGAGCTACCGAGAAAGCGAGCCGCTAACGGCGTCGCGCAAATACATCGGCGGAAATTACGTTATGTCACCGCGAATCGGAGAAAATGGCGACGTGTCGAGAGAGGGGAAGCGCTGAGGTACGAGCAAGGCTTTGCAAACGGCATAACGAGCCGCGGGCCTCTTCTGCAATTTTCTGCCACGTCTTCGCACCGTCCTCGGGTTAATGCCGATTACCGCGTGGCCGCGTTCCTGGAAACGACGAGAGAGAAACGCATTTCGGGCCCTGATAGCCACAACTGTACACGGAAAATACGGAAACGGCACATATACGGGAAAAAAAGAAATTTGCACATCTACAACATTTCCGATAAATCTTTTACTGCAGGAATAATTGCACCAACAGCAAAAAAAAAGTTGACAATTATATCGAACGCAACCGGCGGAGAGCTTTCTTCAGAAAGAATGAAATGCAAATGAATTCGGAGCAACGGCCAAGAAAATATAGTCGTCCCTATTCAAACAAATGAGTAATATACCATTTGTTATTGCTATAAAATAATATGACACCGTGAATAGAGTTTGTGTTGACTTGGTAAAACAATCCCTTTCTATGTTCTCAGTATAACGAAAATGTTTCTGGATAAAAATTCTCCTAGTCCGTTTTTAAGAGTTCACATTTGTGGAAGCAAGCAAAATGTTTTGTTATGACCCGGAATTCTTTTTCTGAGTGTAGGCGTCTTAGAGTGTGGAACGAGGCTCCGGTCGCAAGAACCACCAAGCAAGCGTCCTCTAGTGATTTCTGGTAATGAATTAACGAGCGCTCGAAAGGTCGGTTTCCATTCTCGAGAGAGTCCGATCGCGAGATATTCTCGAATCCAAACGATAACCTTACCGGGCGAGTGCATAACGACTCTTCGTTAGCGGCGTTTCTTCGTTGTTCAGCGCTCGAACCGAGCAAACGGGCATGTCGGAGCTTTTGCAAAAGCTCGCCGCATATTCGCATCTGATTACACCCAGGCAACCGAACAGCCTTTGCCCGACAGATTAAGAGCAATCCGATAACATTATAATTGGTTTATCGGTTATTAATGCCATTAGAAAGGCTCATGACCCATCCCATGCGGTGCGCATTACCGCATGCTGCAAGCAGCTAATACAGGCAAGCGTAATTTACGTGCGTGAACTTACGATATACCACTTAACGGGAGAAACGCGGAACCTCTTCTCGCATGGGAAAGCTCGCGCCCGCAGAGGAATTCCGAATTTTTCCGAATTTTCTTCCTCCTCCCTAACGATTCCCTGTAATGGAGTCTCGAGGACTGAACGGAGCGTTCGACTGAACAGGAAAGCCGTGATAGTTTCTTCTACGTTTTCGCAGAATATCTCTTTAAAAAATGAAGCCGCGAAATCTCGAGCGTGGGATCGATCGAAGATTTCGCCGAGGACGGGAGACGATCGAGGAGGGAATCGAACTCGTTTGTGCGTACCTCCTCGACCGATCCTCGTACGCACGTCCGCACAATGGATAGGTGCGCCTCGGCGTGTCGGCTAAATTGCTATCGTCTGAAAAATAAACGGCCGGGTTTAAATCATTATCGGTACGGTACCGATAAGTGGTTCGTTTGGAGAACCCTGATCGTCGGATTCGAGTACTCGTCCTCGGCTCGGAAGAGCCTCGAGGGCGCCCTGGGAACCAAGACGGCGGATTTATTCCGCGTCATCGAGATGATCTCTTTATCGTTTTCCCCTCGTTTCTTCCTCTTCGCTCTCTTCTCGATGCCGGATCTTCGAATCGGGGAACCGTTTACGGGGTTCCCGCGTTAAAGGCAACGTTTTCGCAGGATTGACGCGGCGCCTTTTTATTCGGCACTAAGTGGGAGATAAGACCACAGGGTTTCGAGGCGTGCGTCGTGTGTAACGACCGTAATGCGTTGCCGGACGAGCCGTATAATTTTCGGGGAGTGCTCGTGCGAGAGCTCGATCTTTTCCCCTCCTCGTTTCGATCGACCCGCGACGCGGAGGAAGCGAATTACCCCGGTGGATCCTTCGGTAAGAATTCACCGTAATGACTGTCGGCAATTACCGAGCTCGACAAGGCTCGTGCTTTCGAAGATGACTCCTTGCATCCACTTCGGCTCGATATCAACCGGCACGATTTCGATCGTCTCTTTGACCCTTTCGGTGCGGCTGCGACTTTCGCCAGATTGCTTCCGCTGTATAGATAGGTACTCGAATCGCGAATACTGAGCTGGACCACTCAGTTCCGATTAAAGCTCACAATAGGCAAAAACTCAGATGGTCAAAAAATAAGAAAGTCAGCCAATTTGACCGAAGGTGTAGATCAATGCAAAATTTTAACTATAGTCACCTGTAATATCGAAAAGGTTAAGGTGATATGAAAGTGACATCTGAGGGGTCAATCGTTTATAAAACTTTTCCTCAAACGAAACATATTTAATTATTTAAGATTTTACCGCGGGAACGTGGAAGTCCTAACACCGGTG